ACATAATGCTGTTACAACTAGTTAAACATTAAGAAATAAATTAGATTATCACTTCATACCTTACATCAAGTATATTACAAATGGATATAAAAATATATATTTTTAAATGAAACCATGAAAATACTAGAAAAATAAGTGATTATGTAAAGAAATATATGTTCTCAAACATGAAAACTCCAGAACCAGATCATGGCAATTGTGGAAATCACATCTTATTTTTAAAAATGGAATAGAACAAATTAATTTTTGAACAATAATCTTTATTAGTGTGTTTTCAAAGGTACATAATCCTGAGCTACTGCATTTATATATTTATATTATTCTTTTAAGTTTGCATGTATTTTGCTCCAAACTCTGATGAGTACATTTTTATACTAATTAGGAACATAAATAATTTAAAATATTCTTATCCCTGGAATAGCCAGTTAACTTACTCAGATCATCTCATTTCCTAATTCTACATTAAAAGCTTTAGAACATTATTTCTCAGCTAAGCAATTTCTTTTTCAAAACTGCAAAGATGGGCAGTGTGAGAGCTGATTCCTTAAATCCTAGTGAATTCTTTGAAAACTAAGATCTATTTTTTGTCTTAGATCTATTTTCTTGAACAAATTGATTATCTGACCAGCTATATTTGAGAATGGTTAAGAGTAACTACCTCTAATCTCAACATTTTAGCCAGTGTAAAATGCTATAGGCTCCCTTCACATATAAGTAGTTCAAAATTATCCCAATGAGAAAACTTTACCATGATTTAATGAAAAGGAGGGTGGCCCAGTGTAAATACATCTTTGTTTAAATGGTTAAGTATTATAAAACATGTTCCATAAAATACTTCCTCCAGGCTATATAAAGAAATACATACGGCTGATTAATATTAAATTTCATAAATCTAGAACAGGACTTTTATAATTGGTAAATAAAAAAGACAGACAAAAATGAAAGACAAACGTCCTGTGATCTTTAAGGGAAAAAAAAAACCCACAACATTTATCCAACGTTATCTTTAACTGTGGACAAATAAATATTTTCATTCTTGTATTTGAAATTACTACCAAAATATTGTATCTTTCTATAAACAACAAAAAACAAGCATACAGCATCTAGAAATGGTTTTATCTGACAAGAACGTCAAGCGTTTGAAGATACACTCAAATTTTTTTCCTGAATAAAGTTACTATGATCTTAGGTTAAAGTTACAATAAGCAATTCGAGCAAAATGCATATTGCTTAAATTTTAAAGCAAGCAATTTTGATACCATTTAATTAAAATTAAGTATAAATGTAAAGATACTGTAGAAACATTTATAAACACTTCTTGGGAATACATATCAGCAAGTAACGGAATAACTGATTTAAAAATAATGAAAGGTGATGTTAGATCTAATGCTTGGTGACAGATCCAAAAATATCTTTATGAGATGTAAAAGAACATGAAGACACTGCTTTATTATTCAGAGCTTGAAAATCTAGCAGCAAAACAAAATATTATTTGCATATAATGTAATGCAATGAGCATTTGTTCATAAGACTCCCAAAGTCCTGAAACTTTATACATAAACCAAAATGGAATCCATTAGGATAAGTGATTTAAAGATGTCCAGAGTAGCTTATCAAGAACAGCTCGATACTCTCACCTGCGTCACTTAATCATGAGCAAGCTTATGCAAAACTGTGTTCTGGATAACTCACTCTTATGGCTCCCCAATAACAAGCTCGTATAAGGCAGATGGAACCTAAGAGATAAGCAATTGCCCAAGAAACATAGGTTGCATGAAATCGCCTTGCAAAATCTTGGGTGCCAACCTAAGATAAAAAGCAATTAAAAATTAAAAGATTAGAAACTTTAAAAAATTATCTACTTGTGAGAACTTGTGTTGGCTTACATGTGATTTTTACGAACTATATCCCTGAGGCCACAAAATCCCTATAAAATATGAGCTGGTGTATTTCTTGACTATCACTGACGGCAAAATTTAATAAGATGATGCTACTAGTTATAGTAACTATAAATTTTGTGAAGCAAAAAAGCTCACTAAAATATGTTATCTCCAAAAGGAACTTAATCTATGTAATTCCTTAGTATTGTGTGACACAATTGGAACATTGCTAATAATTTGGGACCAGGTAGAACAAAAGAGCATGGAAAATTAATGGAATGGCAGCAAAACAGATCAGTCCCTTCTACTTCTCGGGCAATCCTCGTGCCAACTGCTAAGTTTTTGTCTCCTCTAAAAATAAGCCACCCTCATGTGGATAATCACCTATGCTTGACTTCAATAAAGCGAAGGTGGTTTTTCAGACTTCCACCGCTGAGTATGGCTTTGTCTTTGGCCGTGGCATTAAGTAAAAGGAAAGTGAGCTTTTATTAAATAGATGGTAAAGGCCCTGATGTCAAGGACCTTCAGAGGTGTCCTAAGACACCATGTTACCTGGATGGGCAAGCCCCACTAAACACAAGTCTGAAGAATGAATTTCAAATGGCCCACAGTCCTTCAGAAGCTTCTGGGCCTGGTATGCCAGGGGGCAGGCTGTTCAGGGGTCAGTCACTGAAGGTTGTCCCAGGCCTCAACATTTACTCATGATAAAGTTGAGAGTAAAGGATTCTAACAGTAATACTCACAGTCAATCCAACTCCAACGAAAATACATATCATTCCAATGGTAATGTATGCACAGCAGCGTCTTCGCGGAAGTGCACTACCCACTGAGGAACTGCAAGTTCATAAAAGCAAAAGAGACTACTAAGTGTTTACATGATGATTCTCTACTTCATCTTTGTGAGTACTCATATATAGCTTAATAACATACATACTTTCATTTATTTCTTCAACTTGAAAGACGAGAACATGCATAGAAATGTCATTTTTAAAGGCTAACATTAGCCATAATCATGAATGGTGAATTTATAATATATTATTGTGGCTTTAAACAAAATTTAAGCCTTTGTCATTGACAATATCCACAAAAAAACCATTGTGGTCAATAATGATCTTTCAAGATAAAAATCTATTTCCAAACACTCTATTCCAGAATGGAAAGTGAGTGCTATCTTACGAATAGCATTTTCATGTCAACCTTGAAAGTAGAATACTAAATCATATATAGCTGAGGTTTCCCCTCTAGCCTATACTTTTCAATGACCAATTCTCCAGTCCTGGAATCAACTTTTAAGATTATGAAAACCCCCATCACTCGAATCTGTTTCAGGTCTCCTAGGTTTCTCCTTATCTGTATCAGAACTTGCTGAACAATGAGTTCTAGGATTTTTTTTCTGCCCCAGTCTATTAAGTCTTTGTCCATAAATCAAACAAAAAAACCCCATAAGTGCTCCTGTTTTTTTAATAAAAAAAAAGTTATAACAGTATATGCTTAGTGTAGAAAATTTGGAAAATAAAGAATAAAAGAAAAAGGAGAATTACCTATAATCCCATTACCATAAAGAGTCACTCAATATTTTGACATATTCTCCTCCAGCCATACTTTACAAATATAGCATAAGCATTTTCCTATGTTATTAAGAATTCTTGAACTGGAATTCTGATGGATGAATATATTTTAACCAATTCTCTTCTATTGGACAATTAGTGTTTTCATTATTATAAGTAATGCCAGCTAAACATCGTTTAAAAGCACTGTGCTTATATTTTCATTGGTTTCTTCAAATACATTTTTAGAATTAGGATAACAAAACTAAATGATTTTTGAAATCATTTAATATAGATTGCAAGAAGCCTACGGAAAATTCATAAAAGCATATACAGTTATCATACTTTTCAATTTAAATTCCAAATCCAATAGTTTTTCATTCTCTTCATTTCTAATTTTCATAATTTTCAAAATGATACAAGCATAGCAGAGATCAAACAACCAAATTAGTGCTTTCTTCTCTTCTGAAACATGCATATATTAACACAGATCGCATATCAGGTACTGTGTCATTGAATGATACAATGAAGAAGCTGATTTGCCTTTGTGTGACCAGTGTCAACATCATGCCTAGCACACAGTAATTGCTCAAGGAATGTCTGCTGACTACATGAATACAGAAATGAATCACTTACTAAGCGTAATTTAGAAATGTGCTATTCCAAAGAGGTTAATTTTGCAAAACAGAAAAATGATTTTAAGTCCCAAATCTTTTTAAAATTTGATAAGCGATGCTGCAAACATAATAACAATTCATAACTTAACTGAAACATAAACATGGATGACCTGGCGGTCATCCTTATTTGCTGTAATGCACAGCTTGCTATTGGGAATCACTAGGGCATCTAGGATTCATTGCTTTATGTCATATTTAGCCTTAGACGACCTTTAGTTTTAATTCCTATATGTTCATTTGGTTGTTCTCCCTGCCTTCCACCTCACAGCTGGCCATTATGTCTCATTTACCTGTGGATCTGCCTCCAGCATCCTAATCTACCATGGATTAGAAACCAACTAAGCTTATTAGAATTATGTACTGAATAAGTCAAAGCTTTCTAAGTGAACACAGGAGCTTTCCTGTAGGCCAAAAGAATATACTTTAATTTCAGTGCATGAATTCTGCTTAGAAAACCCATGCCCATTATTCATCACAACCTAAACTGTCACTACCTCTGGGAAGCCTTCTCAGAAAATAACCAACCTGGTGTTCATCTACAACACAAGTGCTACCTCATCACCGGCGAGGCAATGACCAATACGCACCTGCCGCGTAGATGATAAAATCTCATACCCTTATGTCCTATGAGGTGTCCGTATGCAACATACAGTGCTGAACAGAACTCTTATCTTCTTCATATTGAAAATGTCTTTTTCTCTCTTTGCTTTTAATATCTTCTATGTATCTTGTCATATATAATTTCACTATGATGCATTCATTCTACATGAATTTGTTTTTCTTTTTGAATCTAAGATTTAGTTTTTTATAGATCTGAAAATCCTTTGGAATTACCTCTTCAAAATGCCCCACCCCATTCTCTATTTTTTCCTTCTAGATCAGGTATGTATTAGATGTTCTCATATACATTTCTCTTAATATTACTTTCATCTATGTCCGTCTGATGAATTCTGGGTAATTTACCTCTATCTTCCAATCCACAACTTTAGTTTCCAGCTTAATCTGATCTGCTGTTTAATCTATACATTACATTCAAATCTCTGTAGGTTTTAATTGTTTCTTTTTAAATTTGCCTGGTTATATTGTTTTGTTAGTTAAATTTTTATTGTGAGAAAATTACAGATTCATAAGCCATTGTAAAAAATAATAAAGAGAGATCTCATATCTTCTCTACCCAATTCCCCGCAATGGTGGCATCTTGCAAACTATAGTACAGTATCATAACCAGGATATTGACATTCATACAGTCTACTGAGATTAACTTACCTTTTTATTTATATTCCTTTGCATTTGTATGTGTGTATTTAATTTCATATAATCTTATCACACGTTAGTTCACGTCCCCACCACGACAGTAAAGATACAGAACAGTTCCATCATGAGGGTCCTTTAATAACCACATTCACAGCCTCCTGCCCACACACCACCACTAATCTCATCTCCCTTTCTAAAATTTAGTCATTTCAAAACGTTACATAAGTGGAATCGCACTGTAGGCAACCTTGTGGGACTGGCTGCCTTCACTCAATATAAATTCCTTCAGATTTGTCCAAGCTGTTGGTGTCAACAGTTCGTTCCTGGGATTTCTGCGCAGTCTCGAGGTGTGGATATACCAGTTTGCTTACCCACGCACCATGGAAGGACTCCTGGGATGTTTCAGATTTCTGCGTGTGCCTGGTCATTCCTCATCCGTTTTCTCCCTATTTCTACTTTTTAAAAATATTTTAGACCTGTTATAACATACTCTGTATCTAATAATTATAATATTTGAAGTTCTTGGGAGTCTAATTATGCTGTTTGTTATTGATGTTGATTCTGCTTATGGTATATTAATTATTTCCTCATGTGGTTGGTAATTTTGTTGAGAATTTATTTTGGCAAAATTTTCATTTGTTTTCTCATTTGCTCTCTAGAATGATACCAACCCTCAACTACTTTAAAATCATTTCTGGGACTGGGTTTTCCTACACCATATAAATGAGCTAAAATATAAAACTCAACCTCATTGCTCTTATAAAATACTCACTTAGTAATATCCCTTTCCTGGTGAATTTCTGTCCCCACCCCTCCAACCTCCTCTTTTCATGTAGAATAGTCTTTTAAGGGCTTTATTTTTTTTAGTGGGGGGGGTGGATTCCAACTCTTTACCTTCTGTAGGTCAAGGCCTTCAGTCTCATTCTTCATCTGAATACTGATACTGAAAGCTCTGGGTCCCTGATGTTGGCAAACACCCTCAGGACACTCCTGGTTGTCATTTCCTCTTCATTTCTGGTCCCTGGAGATTTTCTTAACTTTCATGTGAACTGAATTATGCATTTAAAGAGATGTTTGTTATAGTTAACTACTCTTTCGTATTACTGGATGTGAAACTCAAGAGCCTCTAATATACAAAAAAAATGTGGACAACAAATCTCCAAGAGGAAAAGCTCATGCAATGTTTCCCAAACATCTAACTGTGCGCTCTTCAAATGCTTACCTTTCCCCTTCACAGTAGCATTATGAAGGACCCCTGGAAAATGAAAGAGGTGCCAAGCAGTGGACTCTGCAGCACAATCTTCAGATGAGGTAGCCAGGCAAGGCTCTGTTAGGTGGGGCTTGTGGACAGGATAAAATGTGAACAGATGGGGGAGTAAGAAAGTCATCTTAGCCAACAACAGTAGCATTGTTCAGGTATGAAAAATATAAGAATTCTGTTCAAGGAACAAGCAGAAGAATAACCTTTCTTTCAGAGAAGGTTTCTGTAGGTGAGCAGCAGAAGTGTAAGAGCCCATTTGTGACGTTAAGTAGGTGTCTGAGTGCTCAAGGACACCCAGGTAGAAACAGCAACAGGGAAAAGACTGAATGCAGGTTGTGCAGTTACACTAGAAGCTCCAGAGAGAGATCTGGGGTGATTATATGGCATACAGGTTGGGATTTTATGGCATACAAATGACAGGGGAACATATTAGAAAACCCAGATATAATATGGTCAAGTTGCAACCCTGGAAAATAGAAAAATTTGCCAATTTGGAAGAGAAAGTGAAGTCAAGAAAGGAGATAGCAAAGCAAGGAGAAGTGGGAGAAAATTATATCTGAAAACTAAGAAAATAATAAATTTTAAGGAAAAAAACAGGATGATCAACAGAACAAATACTACAGAGAAAAAAAGCAGGATGAGGACTGTTCAGATCCACTAGAATTTGCAATTGGGATGTGGACTTTGTCAGAACAAATCTAGTTGCTAACTGCACTTACTCCAGAGAAAAGAGGGTGCCAAGATCAAATGAAGGGAAAAGACTTGAAAGGAAGAGATTTGCTCTCTCTGAGAGGAGGAAATGAAGTGAGCAGATACAAATAGGTTTAGAGCAGGAAGTGTGAGGATGAGGGAGTTCACAGACAGCCTCGATCATCTTAGAAAAACATGAGGCATCTCATTTGCTGAGACAGCAGGTATGAGGGGTGGGCATTTAGAGGAACAGTAAGTATCTGGAGACAATTGCTTTGGGGAATTGGGGAAGGACTTAATCAAGGACACTTCAAAAAGGAATATCAACCAAGGCTTTAGCTGACGTGTAAAGCTATACATTTGTAAAAAGCTAATCAATACAGAATTTCTTCAGCTTCAAGTTATCTGGGGGTAAAGGGAAGGAGGAGCCACGGCCATATCGATCCAAGATTGGTGGTTTGAAAAGCAGATGGCTGGATATGAATTTCAAGGAATGAAGACTTAGCCAATGTAGCAAACCTAGGAGTCTCTCTATGCCTAATATGGCCAAAATGAACTTATCATTCTTCTGCCAGACACAGTTCTAGAGCCTGTATTCCGTATCTCAGTGAATGATTCCACAGCCTCTCAGATATCAGGCCACGCTTGGCCCTGACCTCTCTTATCTCTCTCCATATTCGGTCCTGTCTACTCCATTTCCCTATCTGCACAAGTAGGTCCTTGCACAAGGAACCATCCCACCCTCTTCTTCACATCATCCGCACACATCCCTCCCTCTCGGACGCCTTCTACCACGCCCCCTCTTCCTCCTATCTGACCAGGGGCTCTTCAGAGTAGGCACTGTGGGGCACACCTCCTTCAAGGCACTTAAAACTTTATAATGGTGGTCATCCTCTTTTCTATATCCACCAGACTGAATTCTCTGAAGGCAAGGTTTCATCTTTTATTTCAAGCACCTGGTAACAAGAACAGCACTGTTTGTTGAATTCATGAATAATTATAAAAGAAAGCACTAAACAGCAAAATAAAAGAGTGAGAGTCAACTATTGTTTCAAATGGCAGGAGGCAATACATGAAGCACATCAGTGATGTAGAGAAATAATATTCAGCGATAACTATCATGGAGTCCATCACCAACTCGACTAGTCTGAGGTCCATTGTAACATTTGCATGGAAATGTAATCCGACTTGTATTTCAGATTGCCAGGACTACACCCTCTGTGCAACAGTAACCATGTGCTGCCCAACTGAAAGAGGAACCTTGCCACCAGCGGCAACAGCCCAGCAGCTGAACGAGCACCAGGAAGATGGAAAAAGGCTCCTTGGCCTCCGGAGCCCTGGGGAGCCTTCCCCTGCACGTTCTGTGATGGTTTCCGGGGAATGAATCGGTAGTCCCTAAAACTTAAAAGTAACTTCGAATAGTTGATATTTGTATTTGAAGAAATAAAAGTCTATCTCAGAATCTTACTTCAATAGATGATTCATCATCTCGTTATGAAGAAAAACATTCAATGAGAAACCGAGACACAAGCCACGAGCACCCATGTGATCACAGCATCTTTGCTCAAGTCAGGAACGAGTGCCCTGAGCCCTCCCATGTCTAGCATGTGATTCCAATGCTGTCAACATCCCTCGAGAATGATATTTAAGCAGATTTATCCTGTGTGAATTTCTATGTGAGCCGTTCCCTAAGTAACTGATACAAATTCTTCTTCCCATTAATACATGGTCTTATGTTTTAACTGGAGTACCAGACATGCAAAACTTCTTTATTAGTAGTAAAATACTGCCACTGTTCTAAAATAATTAACCAAGCACATCACTTCAGCCAAATCTTTGATCTCTCTAACAGTTCCTCACTGCAAAACGAGGGTGCCAACTCCTGCACCCTGGACTGCTGGGCAGATACAGCTCGTACTCTGCGTATACAGAGCAACTGCCACTGTGTTTAGTAGAGACTGCCAATCACAAGAAGTCTGTTTATTATTTCCTAGAGAATTTTTTAATTCAATTTAGTGTCCTCAGTGAAGATATCTGCAATTTATTTTTTTTCATTTTTGTAAAAATACGTATAACACACAAATACGGATCACTCACACATATATTCACATACTTGTGTAGCGGGTGTCCCTTGAGTATATATTTTTCTGTGTACATCTTTTGGGTTGTCCACTTTGCTTTTCCATGTACAGACTTCTACTGAATTCAACAAAGTTAAGAATTCAGATGATTAATTTCACAAAAAAATTTAAAAATCTGTTCCTTTGAAACTAGAAATATGCTGTGAAGAGTTATTCTCACAGCGCTATATTTAGTTGACATTAGTTCTAACAGAGATAAATGGAAACAATTTGTTCCATGTTCTGTACTTCTCGGGCACTTTTTACTCCTTTCCTCCTAGAAATCATTCCTAGGATTTCTCTGCTATTAAAATAGATAAGGTATTTATATCATACTAAGGATCACACAAATTAAACTATGAACTCATATTTTCAATTTTCAAAACTGAATTGTCAAAACATTCCAGTTTAATTTCCTTAGCTTAAGTTGTAATCCACACATAAGTAGAGAATAATAATTTTTAAATTAAAATATTATCAAAGTAGATTCCGTGCAGAAAGCCATTACTACAGCAGGCTGAGATGGCTCTCCTTAGGAAAGTCTGCTTGCGAGGCTGGCCCTTGGTGGGCATCTGAGAACTTAGATTGCTAGAAAGTCTCCACCACTCCCTAAGAGCGGCTTACGACACCTCATTTGTGCAAACACCATGGTTTATGCTGATACCCGCTTTCCTCCTGGGAGAGTGGAAATCTGGTGTGTGTGAGGCAGTAGGTGCCTGCATGACCAGCTGCATGAAAACCTCGGGCACCGCGTGTGTCATGAGATTACTGAGGTTAGGAGGGGCTGAGGGAGGCGGGTGCGACCACTAGGACCGAACTCTGGGTTTCCTCCAGACTTCCCCCATGTGCCTTTTTCTTTTGCGGACTTTGCTTTGTAAACTCTCACACTAATAAATCACAGCTGTGAGTACAAATATATACTAATTCCTGTTAGTCCTCCTAGAAACCCATGGAATCTTGGAGTGACTTAGAGACCCCCAACACAACTGTCGTAAACTGTCTTTAATCAGAATATCCTCTATTTTTTCCCATTATTATATTGCCTTTGGTATTTTCTTTAGGTGCGCCATTTAGGAATAAGGAGAAAGACTGAATAGTTAAAATAAATAAATAATTATATAAGATTTGCCGTCAGATAATAATCTTCTTAGGCAGGAGATGACAACAGCTAACAACTACCTAATTATGAACCCCCAAACAATTAGATTTATCTCCTAGATGAGAGCCCATTTTTAAAATTTAATTTTACATTATTTGTAATAGACTGTAACCTCTTAGGACATTTGAAAATGATAATTTTAGTTATTTCTTTCTTATAAGTCAATTTTTCCTTCAGAGAGCAATAATCAAGCTAAATCATTTTAATTTCAAAATGGAATATGTAATCAGTTTAAAAATTTTTTTTTAAGTCTTGAAAAGTATAAATATATTGAGCATTCAATCATCCTACAGCGTCTTAAAATCGAAATCTACTTAAATGAGAATTCCGAAACCTTTAAGCTGTTCTCGAGTACTTCCCAGGAGCATTTCCAGCGCAGGGAACTTACATTTTTTTGCAGTGTGGGCATTTTGCCAGAGTGTTGAACCTCAGTTCCATCCACTGTAAAACAAATAAAGAGAGGGGCAGAAAAGGAAAACAACTGAAAACTACCAATCTGATAAGACGTTTCTTTCAGTTCAAATGTTATCAGAGGTCACGGTAGAAGCAACCACCTTCTCATGGCTGACATGAGCTTTTCCCTCTAACGCGTCTCCTCCACCCTTAAAATACAGTTCGGGATTCCCCTCTGAGACAGTTCCCATGGTTTTTCCAAGGTTCTGACGCAATCTAGGTTTGCTTTACAGAGAAAACTGAATGCACTGCTGTAACCGGGGTCATTTCTTCAGATTTATGTCCCAGTTCACTCCCAGGGCATAAAAACATATTTCATGTACCTTCGACAGTTTGTTTTTCCTTTAAATCTTGAGGTCTAGCCTTTTAAATACATGAATATTTAGACTCGCTACTGAAATCCAACCACTTATTCTATTAACGTGGGAAACGCATAAAGTAAATAAACTAAATAACTTAGAACAGGGACAACCCAAGTCAGGAAGCTGCTTTCTGCTCCTCCTTTGCTTATGCTGTGTGACAACGACATACTCCCGTGGTGCAAGTTTCTCTCCCACCTCCCTCCCTGTGAGTGAGCAGGCTGCCTTCCTCATGGGACTGTTACTCCGGTACCTGAAACGAATTACTGGTAGTAAGCTCACTGGTTGAAAGAATGTGCAATACAAATTTAAAGTAAATCTTATTTATTTATTTATGTATTTTAGGCGAGGCAACCCTTGGTTGACCTCACAGATTGTAAGGACCTTGTCAGCTTACAATCCCTTATTCTTTTTTATTTTTTACACCTACAGCACCTGGTCTTCCTAGGTGGTCTCCCATCCAAGTACTAACCAGGCCCGGCCCTGCTTAGTTTCCGAGAGCAGATGGGATCGGGCTTGTTCAGGGTGGCATGGCCATAGACTTAAAGTAAATCTTTATCACAAAAAATATATTAAAAAATGCTTCTCATCTTCCATCTTGTTTGCTTTTCGATATACTTTCTTGTAAAGTATACATTTCCTTTCCAGTTTTAGGAGAACTCCTTTAAGTACTTTAGCAGTTTTATCATCAAAAAAACTTTTATTAAAATTATTTTTGCTTATGATTTTGAGTCAGTCATTTCTCTTTTCATAATTTTTCAAAATTATAGGTAAAGTAGGGCTTCACTAACTTAAACATAATCAAATGTTTTCCACAAGATATATAGAAGATAACTTTCAGGATGTATCTGATGTATGATTTTTAAAAAATTTTTTCATAATTAACTTTTAAACAAAAATTAAGAAAATATGGGTTTGCTAGTCCTGTGTGAATATATTCACACAGGGAGGTGGGGGAGGAAGGGGGGAAGTTTTAAAAAGTTTAACTCCTGCTGCATGTACAGATATTCCAATCAGTGATTTACCCTCAGATATAAATAAATACCCTCAAATAGAAATAAACTCAGGAAAACTTCTATCACAAAAGAAAAACAAACAAAAAGCACAGAGAAAACAGAGATAAGTCATAAAAAAGAATATCTCAGGAAAAAAATGTAAGTAATAGCTTCAAAAAGATGCTATAAAGAAGAGAACACTTTAGAAAAAGGAAAGATTAATCAGAGAACACAGGAAAACTCTTGGAAATTAAAAATTGAGCTAGACTCTCTAAAATTAAAATTTTGAATTAAATTAGAAGATATGGGTGGAAAAGTTTCCCAGTAAGTAAAATAAACAGCGAGAGAGAGAGAGAAGAAAGAGAAAGGAAGGAAGGAAGGAGGGAGGGAGGGCGAGTGAGTCAGCTCAGGTATCTGTCATAAGGAAAGTCCTAGAAAGGGAACGAAGCGAATTGTGGGGATGGGAAGAGCGCCCACCGAGGACCCAGACGGGTTCACACGCGCCCTCCCCAGGCACATGCCAGGGCTTTCACAGCACCTGAGAAACGAAAGAGGAAAGGGAGTATAAGGAGGGCGAAAGGTCTCACAGAAAAGGTCACAAGTCAGAACCCCAGCTGGATTTCTCATGGAGCTGGGAGACGCCTTTACGTTTTTGAGAGGAAACAACTGTCAATCTACAATTCTCTGAATCTGAGCAAATTATAAAGTGAATGCGACATTAGATTAAAACCTGTTTAATAAGTGAAAGGGTTCA